GTGCCTTGGGAAAGAGAGGCCTAGCTGGCAGCACGGAAATACATTAATAGTTCATGAACTGTTCTCTTAATGGCCTTTGGAATTCCCTCCAGAAATGCTTCATTTCTGCCATGGTTCACACCCTGCTTACTTTCTGTTTCAGCCTCCTTTGATGTAGGTCCCTTCAGCCAGACAGAAGAATATCAATTAAGTCAATTGTGATACATTCACTATTAATACTACTAAACCATACAAATAGATCCATTATGCACACACACTGTTAGTATTAGGGCATGTCCATAGATGGGAACTACTGTGGAATTAGGTAGGTGTGAATTTGTAACCTTTTCACACACAACATTTTACCCTAAGATCTCACTGTTACACAAGGCAAGAGTAAACCTCAGCAGAGTGCTCAGTCTAGGTTAAAAGTGGGAAGAGCTAGCACTGCATTTCTCATCCTGCTCTGCCAAAATCCAGGTTCTCTAATTCAGCCCAATATAAAGAATGTGCAATTAAAAATACCAGTTACTGGCATAGCTTAGCACTGCTGAAGACTTGGAGAACATTGTTTGTTGCAGTTTAGGATTTGCAGGTAGTGCTACAGGCAACAATCACTATTTTTTCAACTGAACTGTAGCCCACATTTCAGCAACTGTTAAGGTTGAAAAATCAAGACTGCACCTTTGTCACATGAACAACAGAGAAAATACTGGTGCTAAAAATTACCTCTTTCAGTCTCAAGCCAACTCCTAAATATTATTCAGTTAAAAATTAGGTGAGCCATGCTTGTAACAGTATTTTAAACATAAAGTCCTGCTGAACATTAATCATTTTAAACCTCTTTTGCATGAAGAGAGTAATACACATAGAGGTAGTAAAAATTTTCCGTTCCTGCATTTAAAAGAATCAGAAATGGAACTGTATTGCATATACAGCTCATTATCCCAGACCCCTTTGGGAAAAAGGGAGGAATATATTTGCATCATGATCATGTTTCTGGCCTCAAAAATTTTTCACACTCTCCCTTAATATTGGCATACTAAAGAAACTTGTTTTATTGCTGACGAGCGTTTTTCCAATAAAACTAGATCACCAACGCTAATTGTAATTACACACATTATGACAGCTTCTAAAAGCCTCTTAGGGAAAGCCCCTCAGCTTCTCTCGCCACTTCCTAAACATCTGTAGAGCTATGGCAATTTATATCAGCGAGCATCTGCTGTATATAATTTTATTTCCTGAGAAGCACTACTCCAGAGATGCTGAACGACAGTCCGGGGCCATTAGCTGTTCCCAGAGCAAGTGCTGGGAACCCAGGGGGAACCATCTGACCTTCCAGGGCTCCCTGCCTTTCAGTCAGCTCTCACAGCAATGGCTTTGCTAGCAATCTCTTCACGTGAACTCTTGCTGTTAGCACACAGGACTGATAAAAGCAAGGAAGGTAGTTGTGGAACAGCTGACCCAGCTACTGGTGTCAGCCCAGAAAGTAATTTAGAGCCAAGAGAGCTCTGAAAGAATAACAACATTAACTACAGTAACCCATTTGTATGAGACAAGCTTTCAGAAAGAATGCTCTTAACTGAGGGCAGATTACTACCACCTACACATGGCAATTTCAGGTATATTAACTTCCTTGTTTTCCTCATCTCTCCCATCTGTTTCCTCTATTTTTGAATGCCCACATCACAAGTAGTGTTAATTTCTATTTGCCCATCTCCCCTTTCCCTCCCCTCTACTTCCTTGCAGATTTGCCAGGGGCACAGTCTGCAGACACTCTCCTCTTCAATGGACAGACTCCAGGGGGAACTCAGAATAAGAAAGGAAATTAATTAGGAGTTTCACTCAGCCGGGAAGCGTTAAAGCACACAGCAGCTGGAGGCAACTCACTGTTTTGACTGGGCTGTCAAAATGTGCAAATCACTGTACCTGTTTATTCAGTGTCTCCTTGTCCTGCCGCTGTTCATCCCACCGGGGACACTACACAAGAAATATTTGTTAAATATTCATTCTCTTTAGCAAATTGTATCTTTCTCATAAAATTCCGAACTGCCATTTTAACTACAAGATCAAGTACTGCTTACAGATCTTAAGAGTGACTAATATTAGCAAGCTCCTTTACTCTTTATTCTTATACTAACATACCAGTTTTGCATATCATGTAACATAGCATTTTATTTACTCCTTTTCATACTTGGAAAACTGATGCTGAGTGCTTGAGTTTGAGATGCTGAAATAACAACATGCAGCGAAGACGTGTAGCAAGTTTATTTATTCTGCTGCACCAGAGCATACTCCAAACGTGGAGCAGGATTCTCACAAACAGAAGGGAAGACAAAAGCTTTCCAAAGCCAAACATCAGATTCTAACACTTAAAAGGCATGGGGTGTGTCTGCCACTTTTCCAGTCTACTGTGGAAAGGCACATAGGGTATCAGCACCCATCCCAATACTCCAAAGATGTGGCTGGAGATGGGATTAATAGCAGTAAGAGTGTATCCCACTTACTCTATGTCCCTCAACTCTAGCCTGCTTGTGTGTGCTGCCCTGAAATTTTGCTTCTGAATGTAATGTCATACCCTGTGACTGGGCTAGGTGTCATTAGCTCAAGAGATTTTCTTCCCCCATCTGCAGTAATTGTATAAGCATTGTCTCTTGTGCACTGTGCACGAGGCAGAGAGACAATGTGCTAGAAGGGCTGACACTGCCATTCTGAGCTTGGAGCTGACCAGTGAATTCATACAACAGATAATATTAATTTGGAGAGCTCACAGACTTGTGGGAAGGAGGTGAAAGCAAATTTATTATTACACCTTTTTTAATGGATACTTGAAACTTAATGTCCTCTCGTAGCAGGTAACACTGTCAACTTGGCCTGTTCCATTACACAAAATGGTGATAAAACCAGTTGTCTCAGTTTCATTCAACACCGTAACAGTTAAGAATCCTGAAAAACTGCCTTATGAGTGGTCAACAAATGCATTGCATGGAATCCTTATAGTTTTTTTCAGAGCCTTCAGGCTCAGTCTGCGTTGATCTGAATCCTGTAAATAAATCTTGCCCCTTTCCACTCCACAGAATGAGAGGTGGCATGAGTTTATCTTCTGGCCACTTAGATCCACTGGCATGCCCTCCCCAACAGGTCAATTTACATACAGGTTGGACAAGCTAAAGGGAACAAGTTGTTGACCACATGGGAATGGTATCATAAAACTGAGAACTTACAAGTGTTATATTCTGAATGCGAGAAACACCAAGGCCTTTGTGCTTTTAAAGAACTAGAACACTGAGAGGAACACGAAGATGGCCACTAAGGACATAAATCAACTTTATCATCACAGCTTAAATGCTGATGAAGTCTCACAGGAGGAGCAGGGATGGGAATGGACCTTTACGGTTGGTAATATTTTCTGAATTTGTTGTGCCTGCTCGAGTTTCCCATCTCTTTAGGTGATTTCTGCAGAGACAGTGAGGTGAAGTCTTCTTCTGGATTGCTAAGCAAAAAACTTGGGTATCAGTACTTAGCCATACAACTGGAATTTGAACATTCTTTGAGGAACTGACTGAAATAACTTTTGAAACATGAAGACGAGCTACATATCTAGATGAAGACAATCTTCAAACAGACAAATCCTGCCTAACATGAGCTTCTAAAAAACCATTCAATACTGTATATATATCTAGTGCAAAAATATATATATTCCAGTTAAGAAAAGACTTATCTCAGACACTCTGATGTCAGATACTGCCTAAATTGTGAGTCGGCTTTGAAGCCTTTTGCATCAGATATCAAGGTCACTCATCCACTTAAAAAATCAGAATTAACATAGTAACCTGTTTCCTTTTCTCAACGTTGTGGGTACATCTTGTGATTGCTGCTGATAAAAACATGCACCTCCCTAATACCTTGATCTCTCCCTGCCTGACTTTTTCTGATTCACACAGAGACTGGATGTGCACTAGACATTTTCACAGTAATTAGTACAATAGATGCCCTGACTGGGGACTCTGAATCTCACCAGACACAAACAATGCATCCACAAGCACCATGTGTAATGTTCTATATTTCTCTGAAATGTAAACTCGTGGTTGCTTCCCAGTATAATTCCCACATCCAATTAACACTTGTCGAATATACATGCTACAACCAAGAATGTTCTTTGAGGTTACCCTCATCATTCATTCTCAACTGGAATTAAAAAATAACTGCAATATATTTAAGAGACACTAGAGGGAAGCCAAGATGTCTCAACAATCCTCTCTAATAATACTGCTTGCAGTCCTAAAGGCAAAGATAAAACAAAACATCCTTAACACGGTGTAGAAAATACCGGTTATACTTACTGTATGTAAAGATGCCAAACAAATGATTAATTTACAGCATGGCTTTGCTGTTTCTTTTTCACTGGCATTCCACATGCTGATAGTCTCCAGGCTGTTCCCTCTAGGTGTTCCCTTGGTGATGCCACGAGCCTGGGGACTTTCACTGTTGTAACACTTACAGTAATGTCTTGAAGCATGCAGACAGCGTGATAACTTGCTAATATGCACTGTCAATACAAGTGGTGAATATGTTGGTGTGCTTTCTTCCTTAGTTACTCCTTCTTGCCAGTTGCTCCAGTAATTTCTGGACATAATGTTTTTGATATCTTTTTCAGTACCCATCGCACTGACAAGGCTACCAGGATCTCTGGTTCATCCCCTCTGTGTGTCCCTTCACCAGCATTACAAAAAGGACTCTCTTTCACCCACAGTACAGAGGTAAGTCAGATGCAAATATGGTCAGAACAACTGGTTTATATTCCTTCTCTGAGCTGCAGTGATCAGGCACAGGGTTTCTTTAGGGTGCACCAAAACGCTCTGGTCATGTGATTAACTTCTCCTTAAGTTTCCCTTTCCACTCTCCCAGTTTCTTACTATGCTACCCCACGTTTGCTCCCAAACAAGCAGCTGTTATCCCTTTGCCACTGCCCCCAATTTTGCTGACTTGATATCCTCATTTAGTTCTACCCTGGCCATCAATTCTGTTAAATCAGTACTGCTTTATTTTGCCCACTGAACACTTCTGTTTTCTTGTCCTGCTGTTTTTTCAGAAGCGACGCAAATTAGGGTTAACCATTGACACATAAACCTTAACATATCTGTTTATCTTCACTCCCCAGCAAAAGGGGTAACAAAACAAAAACAGAAAAAACATTTGATATACAAAATAAGCTGATGGTAACACAATGCCAAAAATAGCTTATTATGTTAAGTGCAAGGGAGAAAAGCCTTTATATAAAGCTTGATTGCAACAACATTTCAATTTACCAGTTTAAATACAAGACTTGCATTAAAATATTTCTTCAGATACATCTCTTGCTCTCTAAGGTGTGTTTTTTTTAAATTTATATACACATATCCAGTTGTAACACTTGACAGTAGTCTCATGAAGCATTCAAAGAGTATAACTTGATAAGTACACGCTGTAGATATGAGTGATTATGTCTGTACGATTCCTTCCTTCAAGGGTTTATAACATTTTTTTGAGTACTAGCCTCAGACAGGTGACCAGCCACCTGATACAGTAAAATACCCCTAAGCCCTTCCTGAAGTCCCACAGTCTACTCTTTCAAAGCTCACTGGATCCAGATGGTGTTGCCTCTTTCTGGTCTGCGAGACTCCACTGTCAGTTCTCCAAAAGTAGAGAAAAACTGCTCCATTTCCTTCTGCAGCATATCATTCCTCTTCTCTGCGTCCTCCTTCGCCCGCTCTGCATTGCGCATTTTGATTTCTACCATTGTGAACTTCTTCCGCTCCTGATCCAGTTCTTCATGCAGGGCCATCATTTCTGTCTCCAGGGTGAGATTTCTCTGCTCCAAGCTGCATAAATGAAATAAAAGCAGACAGCTCCTGAGCAGCACTCCTCACTCACTCAAGCAGAAATGCACACCCCCACCAAATTCATACACGCCTTTTCATTTACAAAGCTTAGACTACGAACCATGGCTTCCATCAATGAACTGTTCTCACAGGGCAATCTCTGGGGTAGCTCATTTAGAAAATGCCTTGGAACAGCCACAGAGGTAAGAGGTACAGAGGCAAACAGCTCCATCTAATTCTCCAGGAATAGGCTAACTACTCCTTTTACTTCTGGAAGTGCTGACACCCAGCTCCTGTTGTAGTTCACTGGTGTCACCCACAAGGCCAGAGTAATGCCCTGAACCCCTTTGTTTCACTGTTAATCTCCTTTCTTCAGCTGATTTACCTGCTGTATCTATTTGCAAATATGAATCTGCATATATCCATAAATATGGACCTTATGAAGTTCAACAAAATGAAGTGCAGGGTCCTACACCTGGGTTGTGGCAATCCCAGGCACACCTACAGGCTGGGCAGAGAAGTGATTGAGAGCAGCCATGCGGAAAAAGACTCGTGGGTGATGGTTCATGAAAAAGTAAAGATGACCCGGCAGTGGGTGCTCACAGCCCAGAAAGCCAAACGTGTCCTGGGCTGCATCAAAAGGAGTGTGGCCAGCAGGTTGAGGGGGGCGATTCTCTCCCACTCTGCTCTGGTGAGAGCCCACCTGGACTACTGTGTACAGTTCTGTCTCTCCCAACATAAGAAGGACACTGAACTGTTGGAGCAAGTCCAGAGGAGGCCACAAAGTTGATAAGAGGATTGGAGCACCTCCCCTGTGAAAACAGGCTGAGAAAGTTGGGGCTGTTCAGCCTGGAGAAGAGAAGGTTGCGTGGAGATCTCATAGCAACCTTCCAGTATCTGAAGGGGGCCTACAGGGAAGCCGGAGAGGGACTCTTCATCAGGAACTGTAGTGACAGGACAAGGGAAATGGCTTCAAACTGAAAGAGGGGAAATTTAGGTTAAATATTAGGAAGAAATTCTTTATTGTGAGGGTGGTGAGGTGCTGGAACAGGTTGCCCAGAGAAACTGTGGATGCCTCATCCCTGGCAGTGTTCAAGGCCAGGTTGAATGGAGCTCTGAGCAGCCTGGTCTAGTAAGGTGATCTCTCTAGGAAGGTGTCCCTGCCCATGGCAGGGGGGTTGGAACTAGACGATCTTTAAGGTCCCTTCCAACCCAAATCGTTCCATGATTCTCTGATCTTAGTGGTATTAAATATACAGTCATCATGCTTATTAAACATTTTATGCAGTGCTCTCCTGCACTGCATACCATGCTGAAAATAGTGATGTGGGCGAAAGACTGCAACATTCTGTGTGCTGCACTTTGACTGGCAGCTGCTGATGCCAGTAGCTGTCACATGTTGTGATCCAACTAGGACTTGCAGTGCCAGAGGTACTAAGGCAAAGAGCTGCTGTGTAAGAGAGGTGAGAACAGAAAGTCCTGAACAGCCTTACTGAACAATCCTTATTACAAACACAGCACATTCAGCTCTGTGCTGCTGTGACTAGTTAATGTGTGCACTAAGTAATGCTAAGCCCAGACTCTGAGGTTATTGACTGACCATTATGGCCATCCACCCCATCAACCTTGTGTGCCAGCAGAGTCTGCACTACCTGTAGACAAAGACACAGGATGACCTATTAAAGAAGGTGCCTCCTTTAATAGGTTTGAGCTGTGAAGGACAGCCTCAGGCAAAGCAGCAGAGCAGAGACAGGACTGTGAGCAGAGTTAACTCCCAGATGCTGCACTGTCTCAAGAGAAATGAGAACCGGAAAGGAGTCAAGCAGTCTCCCCAATCCCAAAAAATTCTGGATGGTGTAAGCCACAACACTGCTTTCACTGAAAGGTGATATTCAGTTGCCTTTCTCAGTCTCTGGAGAACAGGCATCAACTGATGAAAATGTTCTGAGAGCCTACTGATTTAGTTAATTATATTTTACAGAAACTCACAAGGTTCTGGCTGTATTTTTGACACCAACAGGACAGCATGTCACAACTGTAGCAAACAACTGCTCTGAAACAAACCCCTTGGGATCGCGGTGTCACAGAAGCAATGCCAGAGTATGTCAACACTGAAAAATGAGAAACTCACTGGCAAGCACCTAGTGACACAGTAATGACTGCACCTGGTGCAAGTCATGAGAGAGAAAACTTGGATTTACTCTGCAGAAGGCAGTCAGATGGTACAGCCAAAACATCTTACCTTTTTATCCTTGTCTCATACTCTAGTTTTTGCTTGGCCATCTCTTGCTTCAAGCTGGACACCAGGCTGTGCAAAGCACTGTGATTGTTAGTGCTGTTGGCCACAAATGTTTCACTGTTATCGCTGCTGCTGGTGGCTCGGCTGCTATGGCCCCCCACACTCCTTCTGTCACTTTTGTTCTCATAGTCACCTGGGTTAGAGAGGTCTTCATGTGGTGGCCCATCCAGCACAGAGTCTTCAAAGTTACCCGCATAAAAGTCCTGCTCAGGGCAGGTGGTGGTGGATGAACGACAGGAGTTGGAGTTCTCAGGGAGGGATATCTCACAAGAGGACGTCGACCAGGTGGCACTGTCCACGCTCTGTTTGTCATCAGAGTTCACCATAGAGAATTGCTGGTGGACATTGTCGTAGGTGGAAAGCCTGTTGTGCTGTCCTGACTCGCTCACAGCATCCTTCTGCTTGTTGTCCCTCAGAGTGACGTAGCCATTGGGCACCCAGCCCGGGGCCCGGCTGTTGAGGGTGTTGCTGTGCCCGTCTGTGCTGGAAACACCCATCCGCACGCCTCCGTTCTGCACGCTGTGTGTTCCCATCTTAGTCACCGGCCCTTTCAGGGACGACGTTCTCCTGGTTTGCAGGGAACAGTTTGGTAAGGTCTGGCTCTTCTCAGGGCCCTCCACAGAGCTGCTGAAGGACCCGTTGGTGACTATGCCACTACCTTTATTAAAAGCAGGATTCTTTTTCACCATGAGTGGTGGGCTTCTGGTGACATCTAGTTTCTGGATGCTGTTCCTGGGACTATTTGTCTTGCTGCCTGGCAGGGCAGTTGGAGACTCACTGTCCATGCTTCCCCTTTGGGGAGACTCGGGCTTGTCCCAAGAGCAGCGCCTCACTGCCGTCTCCTTGGTATTGTTGTTCTCTTTGTTCTGTAGCTGCCCTGCAGCCGTTTTCTTTGGAATTTCATTGTTGTTGTTGCATACCTCAGGCCCCACCTGAGGGTCTGCATCCTTGGGAAACAGCTCTTCATGTTTGCTAATCATCACTGACATGAGCTGCTGGACTACTACCGTACCTGAAAAGAGACACCAAGCACATGGTCACAAATGTCCTGTTTTATTTAAGGTCTAAACATACTTTATTCATCAGTAAATTCATTAGTAAACATTCAGCTTATACAAACATTTACACAATGCATCCGTTTGTGTAACACCCTGAATGTTTAACAAGACTGAAGTGCCTCTTGGCTGCAGAGCCACATCAGCATCACCTCTTCCTTCCACTAAACCAAGCCAGTAGGGCTCACAGACCTCCTGAACAACAGGAACATTTGCAAAGAAGCTATTACAGTGACAGTAACTGCATCCCAGGAAAATCACGGAAGGAGGTGATGAGTAGCAAAGGATAACATCATTCTAAGTGATGTGTTCCTACTCAGTGTGATGACCATTTCAAACCCAAAGTCTTACTCTGGCACAGCACCTGTATTTATAAGTTTAGCAGAAAACGGGCAGGCAAGGGATTTGCCTTCTGGAACACAGACATTTTAGTCTTCTGAAGCAAAATGAGACAGAATTAATTTAATGTGAATGCCTTTAACCACTCCACAGCGAGACTGTATGCAGCCAGGAAACTATGTCACATTATAGCACAGTATGGAATTAATGCAGGATCACAGCTTGCTGCGTGCTGTAATAAATGGCTACCTTTCCTCTTAAAGAACAACCCCTTGGTGTGCACACCACTTGACTGCACTGTAATTTACACACTAGCATTTAGAACTGGACTTGGCATGATAAAGATGTGCAACTGTATTTTGTTAAGCAGATCCTCATTAAGGATTATTAAGAATATTTCAAGAGCAAGATCAAGGCAGTTATAATAACCACCTCATTTTTAAACTCCTAAAAAGCTTTCAGAGGCTTGCTGTGCTCTTCTAATCAATAACTTCCCACTGTGCAATGTGGTTTCACATCAACTCCTTTGTAATAATCTGGATGTTTATACACTGCCCTTTTAAAATACAAGTACCAAGAGCCAATTCAACGTGGGTACTCAACATCTTTTTAAAGTGTTCTCATTTGTTTGTTTGCTATGGCAAAATCATACATTAGAACTAGGCAGCAGGAAAATTCACTCCCGTGGCACACTTGGCTGTATTCCTTCTAAGAATGTTAGTTGTTATGTGCAGAACTTTACTACAAACATTGCACTGTACTCAGGCAACTTTTACCACTGCATTTGACAGGAAAAAATTGCCCCATGGTTGGAATTCTGAAAAAAAATCTCTCCTGAATCAAACAAACCAACTCCTCATCCCCATTATACAGGTATGGTTACCCATAGCTGCATGTTTGACTTTGAATGACTGTGGAAGAAAAGCACTCTGTATATTCCAAAAAGAGCAATGAGGAAAGGTGGCAATAGGCACCAATCAACGTACAGTCTTTGCTAGAAATCCCTATACATTTGACTGTGTGTAGAACAATTGCAAATCAGCATTGTCCTAGGTCAAATCTTAAAGTTATGCTTAAAGAGAGGTCATAAATCTCTTTATTCAAACCTGTTTTTCATTAGCGAAAAAAATATATGTATTTTCATGCAGCGAGTGTAGTATCCATCCTATTTCCTACAGCAGTCACCATGATTTTAATGCTAGGGCTGCTGATAAGCAGGCTGGAGAGTTGCTTTCAAGAACAGGAAAAACACATTATTTTCCCTTTCTACTCAGTTTAAAATCAAACAAACCAACTAAACAGCATCAACAAAAAAACACGAAAATGAAAAACTTTCTTGCACAAACTTTCAAAAAACCCAAACCAACTCACCAACTTTAGACAACAGCTACTTCCTTTTATATTCAAAAATATAAACCTAGAAGATAGTAATTTATTTAGGAATGGCTAACACCTCTCCCCATCCCCAATCCCCATTTCTTTCCCTGCCCCAGGTGAGGTGAAGATGCATGGTGACCCACTAGCAAATGTCAACCTCTGAGACACCATTCTTACTGACTTCAGTGGTATAAATCAGCTCTGTGACATCTCTCTCCAATTCCAATCTATTAAACAATTTGAGCCACTTTTCTGCACTACTTTAATGCAAAAGCATGGAAAGAAGGGACAGTTTGCTACCTGACCAAGAAAAACATTCAGAGCAGTTATGTATCAGGCTGCTAAGCTCTACAGAAGTGTCAGGGTAAGAGAAGCTACTACTTCAGACAGTCTGGCAGTTCTGCAGGTAGAAACAGAGACAGGTTGAAGTGATGGGCAGCATGTGCACACACACACACAAAAGGTAACTCATAAGAGAGACATGACAAGACAGCTGAAGAGAAAGGAAACAAAGCAGGAAAACACTTGTGTTTGCCTCTCAAAACATCATGGGGAGATGATGTAAGATGTGTAAACTAGGAATTCGATGACACAGTGAAACTCATCTTTGCACCCCTGTATCAGACAGTCACAGGGCACTTGAGGAAAGTATGTACAGAAACCAGGGGGAAAGCCACAAATGCAGATTTAAGGGTACTTGAAACTGCCCAGGTGTGATGACACTCATGCACAGTCATGCACGTAAATCAGACACCTGCTCTTGCAAACCCTTTTGAATCAAAAACATGATCAAACCTTCCTCTGTGATAATGAGAACCCAGACATTAAAGTGAAGATGATGATTAAAAACACTTTCCACTCTAGGTGTTCTCATTTGTCTGAGCTACTGTTCAGACAGCTAACCCTGGGTATTCACAGATTTCATACATGATTTGGAAATGCCATGTTTCTGTTCCCAATAACATAGTCATTGTGATAAGAATTAAAAGAAAGGAGAAGGAAACATAAGATTTCAGAAAAACAAGTAAGTTAACAAACTGGACAGGGAATTGCAGTATCTGAGAAAAAGCATCAAACTCACAGAAAAGGAGTAATTCTATACACTCTCAAATAAACTACAAAAACTGCGTTTTTTGAGTTTAGGTAAAATTTTCAGTGCAAGCTCTGTGTGCCTCCCTAATTTCTGAGAAAGTTAAGTAAATCCTACATATTTTTAAAAAAAAAAAAAAGGGTGTCTGGAGCAAGAAAAGTCATTATGTACTTCATGGAGAATGAAAGCCACAAAGATTAAACCTTGAAGGAGGTTATAGGAGGAGATTGTCATGTCCATGTTTTTACCTTAATCACAGCAAAATGCTAGAGCTGAACACTGTTGTGAGCACCAGAATGCAGACAACAATTTGATCCCTGTTGTGCAAGAAGGCATGTAATATACAACTGCCTTGTGGGGGGTTCTACACGGGTCACTGCAGTGTGAACCTGTAGTAAACTTTTTCTCATAGTTTCTTTAATATTTTACCACAGGTAAAATATTAACTGCACTCCAACCACACGTGTTTACTAAGAACATGCCATGTTTGCAGGAAGTGTTCAGAGAAAAGGTACATGTTTAGTGAAGTTGCCAGGGCAGAACAATCTCATGCAAAGTCTGTTTGCAATGCTGCACGTTTCAGTACCTTTTATAACCTTCAAGATTTAAGCCAGGAGTTCATTCAGGTTGAACATTTCTGTGTCTATAGAACAGCTGTATGGAGCTTACTGCATATACTACATGGACTGGTATGTGCTGTTAATAAACCTAAAGGCACTTCTTCTTTTTATTGCAGGTTATGTACAGTAAGCTCACCCTCCATGATAGTCAGAGGATCTTCCACTTTGGGGCGAAGGATGTTGGGGCCAAAAACGGTAGCCAGATTTTGCACACTCATCTTGTTTACACCTGAATAAGACTGGACTTCATCAAGGAATCTGTGGGGAAGAAAGAGGTCCTTAGGAATAACATAAAAACTAAACAAAAAAAAAAAAGAAAAAAGTCAAAGCACGTGATTGTTCCTTAACATAGTTCAAGTATTCCATTCCGAGTCCTCATGGAACATATTGAAATCTTAAGGCTATTGTCTTCAACTTCTTCAGATTTCCTTCAAAATGATACACTGATAAAAAAATTTCAATCTCATTCTGGACCGACTACAAGGTAACTCTGTTGAAGATGGTAACTTTCTTCAGCATAATTAATCAACTATTTAGCTCATAAAATTAAAATGCAAACTTTGAATTAATAAAAAGCTTAGATTCTTTTACATTTTAATTTTTTTTATGCTGGGAACTTTCTCTAAGTTCACAAATTGCAACTGTGTGCAACAAATTTTTTAAGATTTTAGATGTATTCACAAAAATACTCTCTATACTACAAGACATACACAGTTTTCAAGGCTGGGCACTTCAGGAGAGCACAGCCAGGGCCAATAACTACAGCTAGGGTCCTACAAAAAGGACAGAATATATTCACTTCCAACTTTTTGCACTTCTTGCAGAGTGCAGACTGCTTATGAAAGAAAAGTCCTAACTGTGCACCTTGCTAGAGCAAATTACTAATTAGTCATGCAGTAAACCTACAGTTTTAGTGCATTCACTTGAGTTCACCAGTCCTTCAACTGTGAGTAATGCTTTTCCTTCAGGGCACATACACAGACAGGTTTGTCTGTCAGCTCACAGTTATAAATACCATTGTGATATTCTTGCAAGAGCACTTACCTACAGATGTATTTCAGCAGATTATAATTGACAGCTGGCAGGCTCTTCACTTGCTTCACCAGTTCTTTCAGGCCCTTTAGGTGGTTTAAGGAAAAACAAAGGGTGAAGAGGAACAGTTTCTTAGTATTTTACCAGACATTAAAAAAAAGTCAGCAATTCCAGTTCCAAGACACTAAACACATCACTGATGCTGCATCATCCTGATCATACAGGTTATGATCAGGAACAGCTTGTAGAACTCACTTTGGTTTTGGCTAAGAAGGATTAGCTCTGGAAAAAAATAAACAAGTAAATAAATATCTTGGTTTCATCTGTTTCATTCTTTCTTTCTTTGACCAGCAGCTCCATTTCTCCTGCTAATAACAAGGCTGAGGCTTCCAGGAACAGTTCTGGTTTAACTGTTTGGCATCTCATACGAGAAACTATTTGGTTATTTTACCCGGTTCTGGTCCATACCAAACTAATAAACAGTTATTTCAGTTTGTGCCCACCCTGGGAATGGGACAGGCAGAATTTCACACAGTAATTCTTGTGCCCTTTGGAAACAGACCTTGGCCACGCTCCTCACCAACCAGTGTGCCTTTAGGCTCTTTTTCAGTGTGGGGTTTTGGTACTTTGCCAGCATCAGCGGGGTTTTGGTTACAGTATGTTATGAAAACAAATGCAAGTGAAGATGGGTAGAGCATGATAGTGCAGAAGTTTGCTGGCTGTGGGTTAAGAAAAGAATTAAGATGTCCAGCTCTCTCCCTTAATAGTGACTGCACTTTCAACTTCTGTGTAGAGAAAGGTCAACTGAAAATCCAGTCAGACAGCCTTACAGCTGGACTGCTGAGCCACCAAAAAGGACTGAAGTGGCTCATCACCCATAGCACTGATTTTTCACAAACTGCCAGGACCAACTCCAGCACAGAAAGGCCACTCTAATTGGAATCTTGCTTTCAAAACTAATTTTATGAAGTGCTTCATGGCATAGTTACAGAGGAAATACATAAATACACTCGACTAAGCTACTGTAAAATTACAGAATTAATATAACTGAAGTGTAAACTACATGATGACTAACTGCAGGGCTGTCAGGTGGCTTTACATTGGAGCTATCAGTGTTCAGAGGCATATGCAAAGTAAGAAAACAGCTGCAGCTTCGATTCCAAGGATCCCCTGCCACAACTTGTGCAAAGAGCAGCTTAAGTTAAAACAGCTGAACAGCCCACTCCCACCTTTTGCAAGCAGCTGACAAGAATGTGCACCTTGTAGCAAGCTGTAAAGGACAGTGAAGAAACCAGTCTGACTTCAATAGGTCTAAGACATCATGGCCATGGAACATAGTTTGTCAGATCTTTCTTCTCCTCCCATTTCATCATATGGGAGCAACTACCACCTCTGCAGTTGGTAGTCATCATGAAAAGTCAGAAAGGAGACAGTTTCTTAATAAAAAGGGGATCCTACTCATCTTAATTAATTAAAAGATTACATAGGATGGGTTCCAGTTCTAGCAGAATTTCAAACGTCAAAAAGGAATTAAACAGAAATAACCGTCTTAGAAAATTAAGGGAGTAGACTGACATCAACAGAATAAACCTATTTGGATGTACTTTGAAAAGAAAATATTAGGGTTGACTTAATTACCCATAAGCACACAGAACAACGTAAAAACAAGCACTTAAGTTTCTTATGTCTTCAGACTAAGTAGTGCCTACTACATAATATGTAGTAGGTGCACGCCACTGCAGGGCACATATTACCAGTCAGAACCCTTAATTTGCTCATCTCTGTTACACAGTTTCTTCAAGAGAGTCTTGGAAGATCCTTCTGAAGCTCTGTGATTCAATGACAGGCAAGGAGTAGAGCTCACTGGCCTTCAATCAAGAGTCAGTAAAAGTTGGCATCCCAGCGCTCAGAAAAAAAGGACTCTTGATTTAATGGCAAGAGTTGAACAGGAGCCATCAAGACACTTCCTTTTACAGTTCAGAATCTAATCCATGAAAACAGAAGTCTCTTCCATGCAAAATGAAAGCTGTTGACTACAATGATGTTTACTTGAACTGGATTCAGTGTCATGCAATAAAAACAGCTACAGTCATGCTATGTATTTTTATTTAGACTTCCAAAGGGCCCAGGTGGCAACAATTTTCACACAAAAACTGTCTCAATTAATAGATTTCATTAAATTTGGACAAATTTAAATTAGGACAATGACCAGTTTCTCTCCTCAAAACTGGAACAGCCTTTTATTTCATCTTACTCAAGTTACAAACTCACCGTTTCTTCCTCCTTGCTGAGCATTTTGGCACAGGAAAGGAAATCTTCGTATTTGGCATATGGTACGACTGGTTCTGGGAGTTCCCTCAGGTACAGCTTAAGCAGTGAAGCGACTGTGTGCACATCTGTATTGCTGTTGGGTTGGAATACAAGAAGACATTACTGTGAATCAGGATAAGACAGGCTAAAAACTGGCCCTTTTCCATTGCCACCTCAGATTTTACTCATCAGCAGTATATACATTTACAGATCCTATCTGTAATCTGCTTTTTGTTGGGCTTTTTTGTCTTATAAAGAACTTAGGATACCCACAGGTAAACTTCTATCAACTCTGGTGATTTATTCTCATAAGTATACTTAAGGCCCTATTTGCAGGCACAGGTATTGAGAAGATCCTGGCTCTTGTTGACAAACATCTCCCATCAGACATGCAAAACATGTCTTAAATGATGCTTTTCATTTTCCCCTGAGTCAGAAAGCAGGTATTAGGTTCACACAGTGGAGATTATTCTCCTACCAGAGTTGGCCCCCGCTCCCAAAACATGCCCAACATGTTTCAATTCCACTGTGTCACCATCTCCTCTGCTATGAGTAGTAAGGAAGCAGGTTTTAAAGGAAACCATATATACCACAGGTGTTTAATTGAAGCTTACCCATCTGAATTTACAGCTCTTTCCCTGGCATGCCTCCTTTTCCTGTGGGCTCCCACAAAATAACTACTCTGCCTTTCAGCTGCACTCTTACACTGAAAACCTGTATATACTTTACACACAGAAACATAAATCCCTTGGAAATGGGTTTTAGCTCTATCCTGTACTGAGTAAGCTAAGGCACCAAATAGAAAATGTCTGAATGCTAGCAGGTAACGTTACAGGGCTGACAGTCAGAGACCTGATACAACACATGCTTTCCTGTAACTACATTTGCAGAAGCTTAAGGGTTTTCTTGGATACAGCTGGTAAGAGCCTCAGCTGTTTATCAGGCATACTGAAAGTAAGAAGATGGAGAGGAGAATCAAAATCACAACTTCAGAGTATGCAATCACACTCGCTTGAATGTTCCTGTGGTGTAAAGTTACGTTCTGGTAACTTAGGAGCACGTCTCTGAAAAGTAAGTAGAAATTAGATAAAAGCTATGACTTAGCATGAAGAAATCTCTCTTGCATTACATCTGACACCATCTCTGGGTTTAGCCACTCAGGCATTTATACAAATCCTTACTGGAATGTTCTACATGCTTTCCCTGGTTCAGATAAAGAGCTGTACTGCAAGCTGATATCTTTCCCTCTGATTTCTGAAGAATCAAAAAAGCAGACACTAAATTATGCTCGTGTCCTTAACAGAAAATGCATAGACATTTCTACAATGTGCATTACTATGTATTTTCTTTTCCTTTGGAAACTTTACAGTTAGAATATTTTTTAAACTCACAGTGCCTCAAAAGAACCACTGGTATTTGATGCACTTAAGGCTTTGCTAGAGGCATGTTAATCATTATTTTGAAATGATCTGTTAAAGCAGTAATGGCTTTAAATAAGTTAAATCTTAACAAGAATGATGGGAACAACCTTAGAATAATGTGGTATGGTATGTCAAAACAGAAGAAGAGAGATTATAAAGCACTGTATAAATTTCAATGTCACCCATCATCAGTCTCCTCAAAATAAATTCGCAGAAAACATTTCTATTTCAATCATGAATAATTCCCAGCCCAAATTCCAAAAAAAGTGTTTTTCTGGAGAAACTCTACAAAGCACTTATGCAAACCCAAATTTTTAAAGAAAGTTCAGACTCTAATCTCTTGATTGCAACCCTCTATTGTCGAGTGGCTTCAATTTAGAACAGTGTTTACCCCACCCTGTTCCTTGGGTGCATATATAACAAATGTAGTGAATGATACTATACGTGATACGGGTGTAACCGTACTCTTTTATGAGATCTCAAATGCCAGCTCAGATTTGGCCTCTAATCTTTCCATACTACCTATTGCCAATCCAGATGCCAACTAAGCAAAACAAAGCTCTTCTTGACATCCTGCCTAACGAAACTCTTTACAGACTGCACAACCCGAGAACTTAAAGCCCAGACCCCAATAATCTCTCAGGTAGCTGCCTGCATGTCTTGCTGCCACTTTTTGAAACACAACCATGGCATCCATGCCCAGGCAGTTGCCACTATTCAGCCTTATCCAAGAAGCAATTTTACACAGAGATCTTCAGTTTCCTAAGCTGTCAGTGCCTCTGGAAGAGAAAAAAGCAAATGCAGAGGGGAAGACTTTCTCTGGGCAGAGAAAGCAGCCACAAAGAACAGATGCAAACTGTCAGCTTTAGTACAAGCCCTGAAGTGAGAGCCAGCACAGGCCATCCACCTGCAGAGAGTTTAACTCTGATTGCTTGGCATTGGCTGTCTTTCTGAAGAATTTATTATTACTATTTTTGTTATTTAAACAAGGAAAATTGCTGGAGAACTGAACCATCTCTTTCCAGAGACTATCTGCATAAAACCCAAGAGGCCTTTTCCAAAATACAAGATTCAAACAGGTTAAGCGAGGGAAATTACTGAAGAATGATTAAAAGTTAGTGCACAGATCTCCTACTACGGGGATTAAGCACAGCAAAAGGCTGAAGAAGGGGACAGAAGACCTGAAAATTAATGCAATTTATAAATTTTCTTCTTTCGATGTGAAGTACTGATAGACTAGTGCTGGAAAGAGGTAGTTAAGTGCTAAAGATTGTTGCTCTACCTGAGAGAGGAGCAAGGAAACAGCAGGAAGTCTTGTGCTCTTAGACTAACCTCCTGAAGCACATGCTGTATACCAGTACACAGAAGGGTGTTTCCTAAGCTGGGGTTAGAAACCCAGGTCACAACTAGTAGACAAGGACACATGCACAGTATTTTGAACTAATTTTTTATTTTTTTAATTTCCTAAGGCAATACCACAGACTGCCACAAGATGGTGGGATCGCAAAGTAAGATTTTGGAACACTTCCTAAGTTTTTCTTCCTTAAACTGTACTGGACTATCGCTCAGGACTTAATCTATCTGTACAGAAATTACCGTTCAGATCTTGGCAGCATAAAAAACTATACATACAGAGACATAATGCCTGCCAAGCTTTTTAAGAATTAGGTTTTTAAATTGTATTTACCACCATATAGACAAAAGCTAGAAAATTTCTTATTTGAGTGCAACTATGGGCATAAAAATGTCAATATTTTTATAATAATGTAACTAAAAGAGCGTTTCATAGAATCTGAGACCTGTTTAGACCTTGCAGTCTAGTATGATTATTTTCACCTTTTTTAAAATACAGAGGAAAGTTTTAAAATGGCAGATTCCAGTCCTAATCCATCTGTATTTGAGGTGTTTCAGTTTACAGATACCATTAAGCACATTTCAGCCACAGAGAGAACTGCAAGCTTGCTGGAGGATCAGGAGCATTTATTTCCCTTTTCAAGTCTGCAGTGTTCTACCCACAGTCTAAGTCAACTAACAGCATTTATATATCTGCCTTGAAGGCAAGTTGTGTATTTTTTTAAGACATGGATCTTTGCAGGGCCCATGGAGGATCTTTTACTCATGGCCTTTTTCAAGCTACAATTGAGCAGTTTAAGAAAGGGCAGAATGTTCCCCCTTTTGAAACTGGCCTTGCTTATAATCTAGGACCATTAGGGCTACAGAAATTTAATGATTCTACCCATCTTTGTATTTCTTTTGCTATCTGATAGTATAATATCAAAGTGCTTCAAGACTACGCATTCATAATTAACATGATTAAAAGTACTCATTAACATGTATTAAAATACAGTATGTCAATTCCAGCAGAAAATCCTCTGTTAGCTAAATTGGAACAACTCTCATTAAGTGAGGCAGACTTTCTCCAAGTGCACAAGGAGTAATTACAATCTTGAAATGGGAATGACAAAGCACAAAGTGGGAAATTAGACGTTAACACAAAAAGCATCAGCAAGATGAAAAAGAGTCTATATCGGCATGTTGTGCTGGAAAGTCTGAGAAAGATGACTTATCTCACTGAAATATTAATATTGCTTTACTGTTGATATTTCCAAAGGAGCATCCCCCACTCCACCACTGTTCAGGCAAAGTCATGACAAATGCAAATGCATCCCAGCCTCTCCTTAGTCATCAGACTACCCATATTCAAAGCCCCATTCATCTCAACTTTGTCATTAATATCTCTCATGGCATTGCTGTTTTGACAGCACTTTCCTTTGTGATACCACAGACACCGTGGAAGTGGCTGTCAGACCAATTACACTGCCTGGAGTTTTTCACTCTCTCCACCATAAACAATATTACTGAAGCCCAGCAGGTCACCCGAAATCCAGGCATAACCCTCACACCCAGACAAGCAGACAGCATGTTCAGAGAGCTGGAGTCAGCGCTTTGGAGCACAAAGCCAACAGGCCCCTCATAAACTCTCCGAGAGGAAGTATTAACAAGGCAAGGTCACATTACAAAAAGATTAATGCTGTGCCAAAAATAGCTCTAGATCATGATGACACATAAACAGTTTGCATAAAGAACAAGCAGTAGGGAACAACAAGCTGTGAGGCTATAATTCAATTTAGGAGTTCTGGTAATAAAACAAAGGAGAACATTACAGTTCAAACAGTTTGTGTACTAGTACCCTCTGGAATTACTAGAATTACAGCTCCATCATTTCAGACGTGCCACAGATCACAGTCTCCCTCACCAACATATCCTGTCCCCACCACAACATTTGCTGACCATGCCCCTGCTTAGCTGCATTCAGGACTGTAGAGCAGCTCTCAGATCAGTGTAGATGTTCTCCTGCCACGGGAGCATGAGTTCCTAACACTGCTGTCCAGGGTGTATCTTTACTACCAGCTTGCAGACAGCCTAAGTGAGATGCTAGAGCCCACGATAAACCAGTGATGAAACACTGAGTAAGAAACATCAAAGGAATATGTGCATAACTACAGGGAGAGAGAATCAGAGTACTGTGACTGCTGGGAACCCAGCAGTCAGAGCTTAGGAGGGCAAAGCCTGTGTTCACTAATGTTACAGTGCATCAGGAGTGGTTTGACTAATTTTGGGAGTCAGGTTTTTTTTGGTCCAGAAATTCAAAGGTCAGGTTAAATGCATAACA